GGTTGTAGTCACAATGTGAATTGCACGAAATATTGTGAGATGTTTGATTCTCTCTCTAATTTTCGGGTCAGAAGGTAAAGTATAAAGCAATGGACGTGGATCTATTCCTTTGTGGGGCACGGCACGGATTCTCTCATTCAAAAGTGCAGTGTATTTGAAAGCGGTCTGGCTATAGATTGCTTTCGGGGGTTATCAGACGTAGAAAGTAGTGTTTATCCGATTAGTCGAGGCTGATACTGAATGACTGGCCAGAAAGGCCGGGAGGATTGCTTACAGTTAGTTATCCGGAAATCCCGGAGTATGTGTACTGTACTAAGCTACTTGCCGCTACCTCACCTCCACCTATTGAAAGGGATGTACTCAAAAAATTGGGAGGAATTTGATTAAGAAGGATTCAGTTTTCATAATAAATTCATGTATCTTGGTTCACGCATTCCACGCAACATCTTTAGGACATAGATGGGGCAACATTGGCATCACTGGTTGAGTACATGTACAGCGGTCGCCTGGACATCGACGAATCGAATGTTCAGTTGTTACTGAGTACGGCATCCATCCTTCAATTAGCTTGCGTCCGCGACGCTTGCTCCAGGTGACAGTCGAATGATAATTTCCTGATTTTTCAGTTCGATCAAAAAAAATTGCAGATTTCTTTTGGAACAACTGGATGCAACGAACTGCTTGGGAATCGCTTCTTTTGCTCAGACCCACAATTGCACCCAACTAGCTCATGCTGCTCAAATGTTTACCCACCAACATTTCAGGTGAAGCCGTTTCTACATAGAGTTTACCATTAATGTTTTTCTCATAAATTTCCAATGTGATTCGATGGCAAAGCTGGAGGTTGTGTGAGGGTGCCATCTCGAAAAGAATGTCTTTCATTGAAAAAAACTATTTGTTTGTAAACTCACAGCTTCGTATCTGAAAAAAAGCGTGAAGAAAACCTGGCCTAGTTAGAGCCATGTGAATTGTAGATCACCATCAGTTATGGTTCCGTTCCACAACTCACTTCCCTCTCCACGTTCTTTTCCATTCTCTTCAATACTGCCTGAAAACATACCTTGGATTTACTCAGAAATGTGTCGACCAGAGCCTAGAAAATAAATAGTGCAACCAAGATTGGGAAATTTTGAGTTTTCCGTGAAATTCCTCAAATCTTGCAATAATCGTGAAAATTTTGTAAAAATACTGTAAATTTTTCCAAATACTCTGCACTCTATCTAGGTCGCTGACCCGCTAATATGCACTGCCAGCTCCACTGGCCCGATGTCAGACTTTGCGATTGGA